CACTGAGCTGAGTAGCATCACTCTGACAGCTTCCTTAAGAATAATTCATCAATTCGGAATTAAACAGGTAAACACACATTTCTTGTGTGCAGGCCTTAACATTCAGCAGCACATCCTTCCTCCCTGCTTGACTCGTCTCCCTCCAACATTCAGGCTCCGATTCTTTATTCCTAATTTTCTTAAATGTAAATCAGAAGTATAAATATTATGTTCAAAAGCAAGGAAACAACGGTGCTGAGGGACAAAGAGATGTGCTCACTCATTCACTCAGGAGCTGTGAGAAGAATGTGCAATGTGATTTGCATGGGAAGAATGGCACCAAACATCAAAAGTTATTCCAAACAAAAAACCACTGATTCATTCCCAGGGAGAGGCAACGAGCTTGTATATTCAAGCACATCAGGCAGAGTGGATTATAATACATAAACACTATTGTATTTTAAGATAAAAGCATGGAGTTCCCCAAACATACTAGAAAATTAGCATTTGAGTTCTGAAGACCAGAGGAAGCCTGAATACATTTATGGGGAGAAAAAAAAAAACACCTGGTTCACCAAATTATAAACAGCTCCCTCTCATTTGGATACCTGGAGATGACAGCTAGATTTTGTAACACAGTGAATCTCTCCTCCCTACAGCTCTCGCTCCATTTTTAAGTATTTCTTCCAAAACACAGAGGACAAGAAGAAGATGAAGGAATTCTGTGTATTTATTACTGGTGCAGATAGGATTTACATCTGATATCCCAGAATAATGACATCTGCTCTAGCAGCTAAGATATTCTTGTTTCAGAACTGAGTAACTTTTAAAATCCCCTTTTAAGCTTTGCAGTCACAGAAGACTTTTAATAATTGATTATAATTGATTTTAACCTTGTCCTAACCTGGGCAAAATGGCAAAGCCAATCATCTTTGTCCAGATGGGATACGAGAAAAGAGCCCCCAATACACAGCTTTAAAAGCTCCAGACATGAGCAGAAGATAAAATATTTAGTCTGCAGAAGCCTTGACCTCCCAATTCCAGCCAGTTTTGAACTTGAATTGATTTCCGACAAGGCATCTGGGAGATGATTACAACAAAATGCACTAAAGCTGGGCAGCCTTTATTTTAACATCCCAGCAGCTTAACCTGTTAATAACAGCAATTGTTTTAGATACAACACCAATTTCGGTAACAGACACTGGCAATGGTGGCAGTGAGAGAGCACAGCCACTCGTGTCCCTCCCATCGAGGTGCTGCCAGTGCTTCCATCCCAAACCCCTGCTTCCAGGGATTTACAGCTCGGCAGGAAAACACCAGCCAGGCCTGAGAGGCTGGAGATGGGCACAATGCCCACTGAAGCCAAGGGGGGGTTTCCCTGAGATAAACACAGTCAGAACGTGGGCATCAGTCAAAGGATTTGTTATGAAATAAAGGGTGAAAATACCAGAGCTGTGTATTTATTGTGCTCTTTGAGTACGACTTTACTCGAAAGATGAAAAAAGTTTTGAAAGTAAAATCATAAAATCACAGAATGGTTTGGGTTGGATGTGACCCTAAAGCCCACCCAGTGCCACCCCCTGCCGTGGGCAGGGACACCTTCCACTAGCCCAGGTTGCTCCAAGCCCCATCCAACCTGGCCTGGGACACTTCCAGGGATCCAGGGGCAGCCACAGCTTCCCTGGGCAACCTGTGCCAGGGCCTCCCCACCCTCCCAGGGAGGATTTTCTTGCCAATATTCAATCTAAGCCCACTCCCAGTTTGAAACCATTCCCCCTTGTCCTGTAACCATGTTCCAAACAAGGACATTCCCAGATATATCTCCACTTCTGCACAGCCCTGAAGTTATTCTAATACTTGAAAAGAAAAAGTCAGCTTTGTGGATTACTTATGGATAGAGGTTTGCTGACCTTATTTACTCAAGCAAGTCAAAGGAATTAATTTCATGAGTGAATTAAATAGGATATGGCCTTACATTGCCATAATGTTAAAACCAGACACCACCAACACAAAAATCCCACTTCTATCTAAAGAAAAAGACCCAGAAGTACATAATTGCTCCTGTGTTTTCACTTACCTCCCTTGCATCATCAGTATCTCCTTTTGTAAATATTTTATCTACTAATATACTTATTTATCTTAAACTTGCAGTGAACTCTGAAGCAAAGAATGTGATTTACAGACTACATTTCAAATACCACAAAGGAAGGTATCACCATCTGACCATGGAACACAAAAAAGAAACTTTTGTAAGCTCTAAAAAATGAAATGATGAGATCACATATTAAATTGGCAGAAACAGCAGGCAGATAGAATGGCTTGTAGCTCCTCTTGTTTCTTCCCACACCTTTTTACTTGTATTAGTGGTCAGCACCTTCTACTCATGTGTTTTTCTTTAGTACTTTATGTTTTATGTTAATAGAAAAGAATAGGAAACCCCCCCACCACTTTTACAAAGGTGCTGCTGTTTGAAGCATTTGCAGGGTAAATGTCAGAGACATCAGTGCTGGGCATGTCCTGGGAGAGTCCAGGAGCCAAACCAACCTGAATTATTATTTTATAAACACTGTCCAGTCCAATCACGGTTAATAAAGTGGGGGCACAAACTGCTGTTTAGCTGGGTGGATTTTTTTGCAGTAGTGATCGCTACTGAAATATTCTCTATTTTAATATGCAGGTGTTTCTTTAAGCAGAGACATTTTAAGCCCAGCTATCGTATTCCACGCAGTGCCTGAATTCCCCAGCATGTTTTTTGACTTCACCCCTTTCCCATTAGGGTCTGAGGATAAACAAGTGTGTAAATGCAAAACAATCCCGCATTTATTACTAAAACAATATTGAGATTTTCACGAGTAACCCTTAGACAATTACAGCTGTTGGTACCATACTTTCACCATGGAAACTTTTGTTTCACTTAACAATTGAAATTACAATCACATGTGCTCATCCCTTGTTGAAGTAATGAACAATGGTACATCTGAGGGAGAAATTCAAAGTGCATCATTTATCTTATCCTATTTTCAATTAGGCCGAGCGCGGTGTAAGATGGTTCCAAACTACACCACAGTAACGGGGTAAGTGAATTTATTACCACTCCGGTGCTAATCTTAGCAGATGGTAAAAAAAAATATATATATTTTTAGCGTGAAATATGCTAAAGCAATAAATCTAAACAAGGTGGATGTTATCAACTAATATCTCCCCAGTGTGAGGTAAAACTCCTGCATGACAACTCAGCATTCCTATAAACTCGGGGTGAGTTCTGGAAGAAATAAGTCTCTCTATAGGATGAAAAATAACAGAAATTAGTAAAAAAAGCATTCCACGTGCAGTTTAATACAGCATACCTAGGAGAGGAAAGAGAGGTGCAGGATTTTGCTTAGCAAGATTTTTTTTTTTTCCCCCAGACAACTCATTTTTTTTCTTACAGGAAATTTTTCGTTGACTCTGGGAAAGATATAAATCCAGTAATTCTCTCCTGGTTTGAGAAAAAAAACACAACCCTACTATCTAGTTTTTTAGATAGCAAATAAAAAGAAAAATATTAAAATAATCTTCAGAAGAAAATAGGTAAAACTTAGGGGGAAAGGATACAAAGAAACCCTTTCACTTGCTAATCTGTAAATGTAACAAAAATATAATAAGAAGCAAAGGTTGAATGGAAAATTGTTTCCATTGTTATCAACAGCACATTACAAAACACTTGAAATTCAGAACTTAAAAGTCCTGTACCTGTGCAGCAGTGAGCACACTGAAAATACAGAGAGCAAAAAGCACTCAGGAAACTTTCAGGAGACTTTCTTCCAATGTATTGTAATAAAAACAATTCATTAAATTATAGCAATATTAAAATTAGTAAGTATTCACCATGGCTTTAAAACTCATACTGCTGCTGGTCTTTGTGATGGAGCATGAAAATAAATGATAGCTTCCAAACTATAAATAAATAGAAAAGGTGATCTTTTTTGAGCACAAGAAATATGGACTTTGGCCAAAGGTTCTGCCTGAAACCACGAATAACAAAAGGAAATAAAACTGCTTAAAAATGTGTTCCTGTATTTGAGTGTGCAGGTCAGTTTTCCTAAAAGTATAACTTGCTGAGTAAATGAGAAAAGTAGATTGGAAATGGGCTTGTGAGGTTCTGGGTAGGGAAGAAAGTGAACTCCAAAGATCCCATATTCCAGAGATTCACTGAATTACTAATGTTTATTATTTATTTATTTTTAGCTTGAGAAAAAAAAATTTAAAAAATGTTCTCCCTTCCCTTAAGAATCCTGCAATTTTTTTTTTTTTTTTTTTTTTTGTTTTCTTTATTCCACCTTTTCCAAGCATCAGGTAAAAAGTATCTAAAAATCAAACAAACACTGATCATAAACTCCCAAGCAGGACGTGTGTGGTTCCCAAGTATCTCATCCGATTTCACAGCTGGGTAACCAAGTGCAACTGATGATCGGTCTGTTGGACACCCCATTAGACCAAAGAACAACAGGAATGGAAGAACCTCATATATTGAAAACAGGGCAAAATGTAAATATTGCAGGCTAGAGAATTACCCAGAATATTCCACTCCCAAACCTTTCCAAGGGAGGACTGTCCAAATTAGTACAACATATTACCCAAAGCACTGCTGTAATCTTCATTCTCAAATCACCTGGCTGTGTGGCTCAACTTTTTCTACTAAAATACATCAGAGCAGAAGTAAAAATGAGGAATGTGTATTTGTCCCAACAAAAGCTGAAAAGCTCAGGACTGTAGATTTTACTCAACTGAGAGAGTGGCAAAAGGAGACCTCCCTGAATGAAGGCTACAAGGCCCGCAGAATTTAAATAACTTCCTTATCTATTAAAATATAAAAACTTATAATAAAATTGTGGCTGTAAAAAAATCATAGAATTAATCTATATTGTGTCTTTACAGTTTTGCTTCAATAATAGAAGTAAAATAGATTAAGGTTTTAAAAGCAGTAATTTTGTTGCTCTAAGATTTGGGTATTACATTTTTATGCCTCGATTAAGAATTACCTTAATTTGCTCCTTGGTTCAGGTGTGCTCCAGGCTCACAGGCTGACCACACAAAGGCAGAATTAATTCAGAGGGTTTTTTTAATAAACCTCAGAAACTTTTTCTCCGACCTCAGAGATTAACGAGGAGCCCACGAAGTGGAGATGAGGATTCAGGCTGTGCCAGCACCTGAGGCTGGGATGGCATATGCTGGAGAGGGCTCCCCGTGTGCCAGGCAGGCACGGGAGAGCAGCTTTTCAAACTGAGAGATGCTCACATCAACAGTCTCCGGTGGGCCAACATCAAGTCCAGCAGTTGCACCTGTACAGAACAGGAGATTTGAGATGCTGCACACCCAGGAGAAGCCTCCCAGTGGGCAAAAAGAAGAAGGAAAACGTTATGCACAACAAGGGAGACGAGGAAAATCACAGAACTAATTTAGGCTGGGGTTACCTTTGCATCAGAAACCATGGAGGAGGTGCAGTGGGACCGGAGTGATGGATGACATGTGAGGAGGAAATACAGACAGCGACGGGAGCTGGAGATGTGAGGAAAGGGATCCGTCAAACCTGGCTGAGGAGGGAGAAGCGGCTGGTTTGGTTGTTTTTTTTTTAACAAAACACCCAAAATTTGTAAGTCTGGGGAGGGAACTCTAAATTCTGCCCACCCAGCGGGGACTGGGCGGCAGAGGGAGCTCATCCCACCCTAGGGCCCCTCCCTAAACTCCCCCCTCACCCCTTTTATCTCCCTCAACCTGGGGTTTATTTGGGTCCTCCATAACTCTGGGGTGCCCCCCGAATTTAAGGGGTTTCCTGAATTTCAGGGGGTCTCACACCCTCAAACACAACTTCCCCCTCGCAAATACTTTGTAACTCCCCCTCTCCTCCCAAAAAGCCCCTCAAGTCTCCACAAAGTCCCCCGCTCCACGGTTTCCACAGAAACAAAATGGCGTCCGTTCCACAAAATGGCAGCCGTTACCCCGCTTCACTCCCGTTGGCTGCCCCAGACACAAAATGGCGGCAGCGCCACAAAATGGCAGTTGTTTCCCGGCTCTACACCCCATGGTTTCCTCAGACAAAAAACATCAGCACAGATGCTGACAGCAGGGCCTCTGGAGCAGCAATTACCACCAGGAAAGGCTGCTGTTTGTGCCCCAAACACAAACATTCCAAGGCTGGAGCCTGCTCTGAGCAGCACGGACTACCTCTGGCCTGTAACGTTATATCTGGCCTGTAACGTTATAACGAGCCGGGTGTTCTCAAAGCCGACTGTGCCACTCAACCTCTGTTTTACAGCTCACAGACTCACAGGATCACAGAATGTGATGAGGTGGAAGAGACCCAGCAGGATCATCGAGTCCAAGTCCCACTCAACACAAACCTGAGGTGGCTGAACAGAATCTACTCTGGGGAGATGGGCCGTCCAGGAGCATTCTGGACACGAAAAATAATAAGTAAAGTAACAGCAAAAAACAAACAGCTCAGAAGAGCAAAGCAGGGCCCCTCTATATAATTCCTGGAAAGGATTTATAGCCTGTATAAACATGGATCATAAACCCATTGGCAAACAGATACAAGTTATTTCTAAAAGCTGCTTAGTTTAGATGTCAGAATGTAGAGTTCTGAATGGATGCAGTGAGGCAAAGAGACCCACTCCTGCTCCTCGGGACACATAATGCTCTGGCTTGGGAATGTACTTGCTGTTCTTAGCAGAGACTTGATTTTTGATCCTTTCCAAAGCTTGGATTCCCGTTCAAGGACAGGGCACACCAGTCATCTCGTGAATGCACTTTGAGCTAAATGTCCAGATGAAAGATTTTAATGAAAAAAAGAAGCTTAGAGCACCTGGCCACTTGGTTTCCATCCAGCACAGTACTGAAGGACTTAAATGGAGATATATTCTGAGGGGTCACCACCCAAAGTGTAATATGCATGGCAGGGAAGCTTTCCATCACTTGTCATGGGGAGTCAAGTTGCTATAAATCTTAGGAACAAGATGGTTTTCTCTTCACCATGTTTTTATGAGAAACAGGTTACTGATAATAACTGCTCTGACACTTCGACCTGCTTCCTAGTGAATTTTGCATCAGGATGTTACTGTTCATGCTCTGTGGGGACAGAATTTCCCTCTCAGAACTGATGGATCTGAGCTTCACTGTGCTCTTCTGCTGAAGCAGAGATCTCACACTGCTGTCAACGGGAGCTCAACAGGCTGTGTTAGCACAGGGACAGCCATCCTAAATTGATCCTAAATTGTCCACAATGTACTCAGCTTCTGGGTGGCTCCAGATTTTACTTTTGGTATTCCTTGGATATTTTTTCCTGCTGGAGAAGCCCTTACAACATGAATCTGCTAAAGCACAATGCAATCACAGATCTCTGTGGTCACTCAAGAGACCACGAGCAGGTGCAAATCAAACCAGTACTGTCATTTCACAGTTCACAGGGTCTGTTTTCTCTGTTCAAACTCAAAATCCAGCCAGCAGGAGATGAGCAGGAGTTCAGGAGCATTCCCTTTTTGCATCTCTGCTGTCCAGAGGCACTATTCCCATTCAGTTAGATCAACAGATACCCCAGATGGGAGACAAGGAGATAAATGGACATGGTACTAGAGATTCATCCTGGTAGCAGGAGTTCCTCCTCAGAGCAAAGCAGTGGGAAGTTCTGTGCAGGGAGAACATCTGTGTTTGTGTTTCTGTAAGTTCGAGGCATTTAAAGCATCAACTATAGAGAAGTAGCCAGAAAATATAAGAAACCACAAATATGGTTGTTCTAATGAAATTCTGAAAAATATTTCACCTGTTTCAGAGTAGAAAATGCTGAGGGAAACCATATCATCACTATTACTTGTGTTATTTAACCAATCTATTCTTTCTAATAAAGAACCGGGAGAAATAAAAACTCATTGATCTTTATCTATTGACTTCCTAGTGAGTATAGTTAAGGTTGACACAAATCAATCACAATAAAGTTAAAAGGATAATATAGCATAATATGCCCCAAGATTGCACTGCAAGTTTAATTACTGAAACTCAAAGTTTTAGCATAAGTGGAGCAGTGAGGAGAAATGTCCAGTTAAGTGTAATCAGATGCACACTGTAAAAGGACAGGGAAATTCTTGGTGCTTGTCACATTTTTAAATGTTTTCTTAGCCAGAGCAGGTAGAAAATACAGAAATGTGAGGGGAAATAGGTCTCTGTCTAAGGGAATAAACGGCTCTTTGATTTCCTTTTCTCTTCATTCATTGCCATTAATTTAAAACTTTCCAGGCATTCTGCAGGCAGTAAAATGGGCCAAAATATTCGTTGCTGTCAAAAGTAAATCTGGTTAGAGTTTTGCTTTCAAAGATGGTTGGCAAAAGGCAAATACACATGCCAATAGAGAGCACTGCTGCCTTATGCTCTTTGAATGTGGAAAATAAGAACGAGAAATCTTCTGAGACAAGAACAGGAATATTAAAATCACAACTGATAAGGCAAACCTAGTTTTCCTCACCATCCCTCTGTTATGTGCAATCTACTGCCACTACCTCAGTGTTAACTTTTTAAGGCTTCCTTCTTTCTTAAAAAGATCCAGGAGGCATCAAATGAAATTTGTAACTGTTTGATCAAAAAGAAAAAAAAAAAAGAAAGAAAATCCAAACCCCAAAGGAGATGGTTCCCACAGCGTGTGAACAAGCTGCACATCAGCTCCTTGCAGAACTGCGTGAATGCCAATGTTTCAATGGTTAAAATAGAAACTGGAGACATTAATGGAAGGAAAACACAGGCTTGGCTGTGAGTTGAGCCACCAAGGCCACTCTCCTAAGGCAGGTTTCTGGAGGCTGAAGGACCATGATACATTTGCTCCACACTGATTTCTTTCCCTCGACTGTGACCAGTGGAAACGGGACACTGAGGGAGATGGATCCCCAGTAAAGCTGTTCCTTTTACAGCATTTACATTTCAGGGTGGTCTCAGGTCAGATAAGACAATTTTTTTTCTTCAGATCTGGAAGAAAATGTCCAAACCCAAAGATCACAGTCTTAAAAAGCCCACTTTGCCTTCCTGGACGTCTGGTGGTCCCGACATTAATCCTTCCCTTGGGATTAAGGCAAAATGCAGTCCTGGAGATGAGGTGGGAAGAGATCAGCTCTTCCCCCTTCCCATGATCCAAGCTCCACTAGGGAGAGACGCCTGTGTAGTCAGGAATACAAGTGAGCAATGTTTCTTCCAGCATAATCCCTGCTCAGGGCTTTTGTTGGGTTTTTTTTCCTCTCCCCCTCAGTTCATCAGGGTGCAAATGGAAGGGGCAACAGGGCTTCAAAGCTGACTCAGGTCATTCAGAACAAGGATATACTTGGGGAAGGTGGAGGGAAATGCAGTGCAATTTCTTTCCAGCATCATCTCCCGGCTGCCTGGTGGTGGTGGCACCTTCCACAGCACCCAAATCAAGCCCCTCTGAAGGACTAAACTGACTCAAACATTGGAACAGAAATGAAAACAGAGGCGACCTTGCCTAAATTTCAAAATGGAAAACATAAAATTATATTAATTGGTTAATGTCATCAAAAAACTAATTATCATAGCTATAATTTTCCTACCCAGTCCTTTTTTTCCCCCCTACTGATAAATAATAATTATCTATTGGCTACAATAATGCGACAGTCACAAAAGCACAATCCGTTAAGATTTAATTGTAATTCCCACAAGGAAAAGTTTCTGCTTTTAGAGGATACCAGTAGGATTTGCAGCATCAGGACCAAGCTCTGCAAAGGCATCTTGCCAGTTGGTGTGAGCAGACAACTGGCAGTTCTGATGTAGTGCTTAAGGACACGAGACAAGGTGTGTGGCAGAGATTCCACCAACAAGGAGCACTGGAAAAATGCACAGGGTATTTCACTCTCACTCCCAATGGGATAGCTTCGGGAATGATGCAGCGAGGAATGCTGGGGGAGTTTTCCTATTGTTCAAAATCCATCACTGCCTAAGATAAACAAGCTTTGGCTTCTCACCATAATGCAAGTGGACCTTTAAAATATAAGCAGCCCTTCCACCTGGCTGGAAGCTCAGCAGCCAGTGGGGGCACTGAAGAAACGCTTGGCAGGAGCAAGTGCTGAGTCACATCAAAGTGACACGATAATATGGGCAGTTATCCCCCAACTGCATTATTTATCTCCAAAACCCACTGACGCCCGTGCTTACACTGGAACCCTCCTGTGATATCGAAGGCCAAAGTGTCTTCTCTCCCTAACAACAGTGTTGTATCTTTGGCAACTCCAGCAGGGACTGGGAAAATCAATAGCACTTCATGAGCAAGGTCTCGGGCTTCTCCTTTTACGAGGAGCCTGTCAATGCAAGTGGCCATTACTGTACTTTAGAGGCACGATGTAAAATTGCCTCCACAAGATATAAGACACACGGTTTGAAAGAACCTGGTGAGAGTATTTTAGTCAAAGTTAAATAGTTTCATCACGTAATTACTTCCATTGGCACATCTCCAGCTGGATGCACTCGTGCAGGGTGTGCACTTTCTGGGATGGGCTGGGGAAGCTGTCAGGG